CTTACTCCACGATGTTAAATATTATAACTCATTGCTCTTTATAACTTCGTTCTCTCATCTGGAGGCCCTAATCATATTTCACACTAGCAACAAAAGCCGGTATGAGTTTGATCTATTAATTTATTATACCTCTGTCCCACTACAAAATGTTAAGGATTACTTATCCAAGTTTCTTTTTTCAGAATCTTTCTCTGAGAGCATAGCTATGGGGCTTCTAAAGCCTGAAACAGACTTGACGTACGCGTTTTCTTAAGGTCGTAGTTCACACAAAGTACTCTGTAAATCTACTTCATAACAACTGTTGTATTACATAAATTCTTAGTACGACCAGAATTCTAACACAGTTATGCCGAGCTGGGATCTGGTGCGTAACGTGGAGGCGATGCCACTTTGGAAGAATATTTCGAAGACTGTACTTGGTGTAATGCTAAAGCATAAAACTAATTATTAACGCTCCAAGACATGTGCACTAATGTACTGTTATTTACCTCCATTGATTTAGTCTATTTAACGACCCTACTTCGGAGCATACTGTAAGCAAACTAATGTTGTAATTTGTAAATCATACCTGTAAAAATGGCGCGTACCCGCTCTAGAGGAAATCTGATATTATTACCTTTGCGTCTATTCTAAGTTGTGAGCCCCATCTATTAAAAGTATTTCTGACGGTAAGACGAATGTTAGTCTTACTCCACATACATATACCTCTAAATGAAGTCATCCAGGGTATGATTTGAACTACGACACCTAGACCTGATAAACATTAAGCAGCGATCAGGCTTCATCATTCACTTAGCTACACTACGTGCATCACTGGGACGACAATAACGGTTCGTGATGACTCTCTCATAGTCATGAACTTCAAGGACAACCCTGACCTTTCTCTCAGTTTACAGGACAAAAATGATAGGATGCTCTGGGAAGAATTGAACAGGAAACTTGAACTTCCAAGAATAGAGCCTTTGACAGTCGCACGGCTCACTCGGGGAAAGGAATCTAAGCATCAAAATCACCCGAGGCTACTTCGTGTAACACTTAAAAATGCTACCGACGTAGAGGATGTCTTACTAGCGAGTCATTTACTGAAATCAGATGAGAATGTAAGAATACTGCCTGACATACCGTATTCTGAGCGCAATCTCATCCGGAACATCCCCAAAGAATCTTGCGATAAGTTTTTCCGCGGGAGGAATATAATCGTGCAAGGTATACCGGAAAATACGGACCTTACTCAATCAAAAGCTGACATCCGGGAATGGAAATTCATCAAACGGTCCTTAAGGCTCAAACACATACTGACTCAGCATGTGACGAGACTAGCCAAGAAGGACGGTGATCCTAGACCCCGTCTAATGAAGATAACCTTCCCATCTTCCCATATGGCGGCTGCAACTCTGGAAGCATTTCGTGCCAACAGACGTCGATTGCCACCTGGAATCCACATGCACCCGGATAGGCCATACGAAGCTAGGACCAAACACAAAGGCAAGTTGGAGCTGACCATTCCACTTGTGGACTGTCTAACGATAAAAAAACGTGTAAAGGACAGGGCCTACCACCTCGGCAAACCTCATATAGGTGGGCTACCTGTCCATTCACGTAAGGCTCATACAGAAAACAGGACGAAGCTCACGCGTTCCAAATTGAAAGCATAAACTGCTTATATATGAACGCCGCGAGTCTACCAAACAAACTGGATGAATTACGTGAACTTAGCAACGCTAATAAGGCCCATCTGATAGGAATATCTGAAACCTGGATATCTTCTCAGTTCTCGGACCAAGAGTTAGCATTACCTGGGATGTCTTTGTTCCGCAACGACAGAAAATCAGGAATTGGGGGCGGAGTAGCCATTTACATACGTTCTTGCTTGGAGGTGCACCAAGTTCACAACCTCGAGTTTAACAATCTTGAGGAATCCATATGGTGCTCTGTAAGATTGTCTAGTACTTCGAGGTGTCTAGTCGGAGTCATTTACAGGAAGCCAACTGCCGACATCGAGTACGATAGTCGTATGCTGGAAGGACTATCCCGCTCTACTCGTCTCGGTTTCACACACATCCTGATTCTAGGGGACTTTAATCTCCCTAGAGTCAACTTCGCGGAACACACGTACACTGGAGGCGACAACTCAATTGAAGCTCGGTTCTTCAACCTCATCGATGACTTGGGATTATATGAAAATGTGAGGTCGGCAACTCGTTGGAGAAACAGTCAGACACCATCGCGCTTAGACTGTGTATTCACAAATGAAGAATTCCTAGTTGACAACCTCTCAATCCTGGCTCCTCTGGGAAAAAGCGATCATGCCGTCATAGCCTTCAGTTTTGTCTGCAAAACTAAGCTAAGCTATCCCACCAATAACTTGCGTTGGAATTCTAAACGGTTGAATGTGCCAGCTCTACATGACTATCTACAACAGGTGGTTTGGGATGTCCACCCTCAACTTGATGTGGACGGTCATTGAGACTTTTTACTGCACACAGTCTTACGTGCTACAAACCATTCAGTTCCTCAAACGGTTCGCAAAAGCTGCAAGCTACCTACAATAATCAAGAACTATACCCTTCGCCTCCTAAGCCGCAAAAGGCACTGTTGGGCGGAATACAAACGAACTGATAACGACGGAGCGTACAGGCAATACAAACATGTAAGAAACATATGTACGAAGGCTATAAGAGATGACAGGCTTCAGTACCAGACAAAGCTTATGGACAAATTTGCCTCTAATCCTAAAATCTTATTCCGTTATGCAGCCTCTCATCGTCAAGCCAAAACTCGAGTTTCCCAACTGTTAGGTCATAACGGGCCGATCAACAACGTTAGCGACGCCGCTAACCTTCTGGCTGAACATTACTCCCAGACATTTCAATCGACCGACATCAACTTTACTGATGACAGTTTCATCTGCGATTCCATAGGACTTTCCAAAGTGAACCTAAACGCTGACTTGGCGTTCCGGTAACTGCAGCACTTAAGACTAGACACTTCTCCTGACCCGGACATGGTCCATTCCGCCATACTGAGGGAAACAGCCTCAACCCTAGCAATGCCGCTTAGCTTGATGTTTTCACACTCGCTAGGCCGTGGCAAACTACCGGAAAATTGGAGGCTGGCTCACATCACACCAATTTTCAAAGGAGGTCGACGCAGCAAACTTTCAAGTTACCGACCGGTGGCTCTTCTCTCGGTAACTTCAAAAATCATGGATTCCCTGATGTGCGATGGTATACATTACTGTTTACTGTCCTTAAATTTCTTCTCACCCCAACAGTATGGTTTCAGGAAGGGTTACTGTTGTATTACCAACCTGCTGACTGCGGTGGACAGATGGACAAGCATCCTTGACCACAAGGGGAAGGTTGATATCATCTACCTAGATTTCTCAAAAGCTTTTGATAAGGTTAACCATACATGTCTTACCAATAAGCTCAAACAATTGGGTATCAGGCCACCTTTAATCGATTGGCTCACTTCATACCTGAAAAATCGACATTTTAAGGTCAAGGTTAATTTCACTTTATCTCAGGCTATGGAATGTCCTAGTGGGGTCCCCCAGGGCTCAGTACTAGGACCTCTTCTCTTCTTGATCTACATAAATGATCTTCCTCAACAGGTAACGTCAGACTTATTACTTTTTGCCGACGACGTGAAACTTTGGAGAGAGATACGCAACCAAGACGATATACAGGCACTTCAGGAGGATCTGACTCGACTTCAAAGTTGGGCAGACGATAACGGACTTACCTTTAACACTTCAAAGTGTAAAGTAGTCCATCTGCGACATGTCGCAGACTACAGTTATAACTTAGGAAACTCCTCTCTAGTAGTATCCCAAGTCGAAAAAGATTTAGGAGTCCTGGTGGCCCATGATTTAAAGTCTTACGCTAACTGTGACAAAAATGCCTTCCGAGCAAACCTTGCACTGGTAACATTGAAGCGCATTTTTGGACAGTTTGACGGAAGAACTTTCCAGATAATCTTCAATAGTTTTATCCGTCCCCATTTAGAGTACGGAAACATAGTATTTCCTTCCTCACTCCAAAAGGATAAGGACACCCCGGAGCGTATCCAACGGCGAGCCACGAAATCAGTTCGAGGACTCAAATTTAAACCTTACGAAGAGCGCCTCCGTTCACTAGACCTTTACCCATTAGAATATAGGCGTCTTAGAGGTGATTTATTAATGGCTTATAGTATTCTTAACACTTCTGGACATCCTCTTAAACACCTACTTAAGCTTAGTTCGAATAACAACCTAAGGGGTAACACCCAGAAACTGGAGACACAACATAGCAGAACGGACTGAAGACACAACTTCTACCCCTTAAGAGTTGTCAAATGCTGGAATTCGCTGCCGTCCGAGCTAGTCCAAGCGACTTCACAGGAGTCCTTTAAGAGGCAACTTGATCTATTCTTAAGGACTAAGGATAGTATTACACTATGATTTACTAATATGTTTTCCTGTTTTATTGTTAACATACCTGGGTTCCTGCCTGGAGGATTTGGTGATCCCCTGCTACTAGGCACGGAAGCCTGTTAAGCGAAAGCTTCTTCTATTCCGTACACAACCATTTGAATCATTTGAACCATATGTCTCCAGTGAAGTCGGTTCCGAGTGTAAACACGTTACGTTTACCCAATCGGTTCTAATATAGAAAGAAATATTTACGTCCGTTATGAGCTGTGTTGCTGTAGCTGAGATTACCCGCTTTATAATCCCTCTGTTATGAAGCCTAGCCCGAACATTAGCCCAGTCTAAGCTTCAGGTGTTTCGGAGATATATTTCATTTGCTATGTCCATCTAAAAGATGGGAACTTTAATGAAAAACCAAACATGAAAAGTTCTACCAACAAAGGATAAGCATGTAGCTTAAGCTATTTTCTTCTTATAAAGTTCACTTGCTACACGAAACTTCCTTTGTTTTCATCAGATGGCTATTCAGTTGCAGTAGCGCCTTTTCAATTCTGCTCGTGATTCGGTCTGGTTGTTATCAAACATGTCTGGTGGTTATCCAGTTTTAGAACTCTCGGCAGAGGACCTGCGCCTAATGCTTGCAGCTCACGTTCATGTGGGGGAGACTAGTATGAATTTCCAAATGTCAACATACGTCCATGGATGTACTAAAGATAATTATCACATTATTAAGTTGGATAAAACATGGGAGAAAATCCTTCTATCAGCCCGTGCTATTGCAGCAATTGATCATCCGACTGATGTTTACGCAGTCGGGTCCAGGCCATTTACTCAGCGTGCTGTATTAAAATTTGCGAACTACACAGGAACAACAGCAATGGCAGGCCGCTTCACACCTGGTACTTTCACCAACCAGAAACAAGTATGTTCCGTGCCTTCATAATATTCTTTAGTCTTGTTTCCGAGAGCCCCGCCTGTTAATTGTCAGTGATCCAATAAGCGATCACCAAGCTGTATATGAGCTAACTCTGTAAATGTCCCGCTCATTGCATTCTGCAATACTGACACCCCTTTGACACGTGTTGATATCGTCATTCCATGTAATAACAAGGTAGTCTTCTAGTTTTCACGTAATTACTTTTAGTCAACACATTCTATTGCCGTTGTGTGGTGGCTTCTCGCTCGTGAAGTTCGGCGCATCCGCGGTGAAGATACAAGGTTGCATCAATGGAGTGTATTACCTGACCTGTTTCTCTATCGCGATCCTAACGAAGAAGAGCAAAATACTGAGGAAGTTGATGATACTAGATTGGAACCCGCTTTGCCAGGTTAATTATGTTTTTCAGGATATGTGCTTTTATATTGTATAATAAGTAGTGGTAGGTCATATGATGTAGAAGTGTAAAACTCTGTGGACTAAAACATCATTTCCATTTGTTTAGATTCAGATCTTCAGGCTTAAGTGAATCGAAAGCAATTGGTTCTCAAGCAACCAAACAACTAAGTCTGAGATTCATAAATTCGTGTCGGTATCATAACATACCGGTCGGTATTATATATTTAGATAATTGGCCAGCCACTGTAGACATACAGCACTTTTTAAGACGACTTAACTAATATTTATTTGTGGAATATGATTAAGTTTCGGATTCACGAGTCAGGAAAACTGTAGCCCTGCTTTATGTCGAAATTGATGACCCTTAAATGCCCTGGTACGGCCGAAAGTGGGGAGAGTCCGCTATCCCTCTCGAAATGCTTTCACATGGTTACGCGTATATAGCCTCTGCCAGGGAAGTCCTACTCACTTCTCGTGGTGGTGTTGATTACGAAGTTGAGAGGACAAAAAGCGAATGTCCGGTGCTCTAATCGGGTTGGTGGACATGGAGAGTCCACCTACGGGAGTTGAAGAACCCTGATTTCAAACCAATGGTGCACATGGGCTACAGTATCCTAAAGGAACAAATGGCGTATGAACCAGTCGTTGGTCACCGGCCACCATGGGACTGCATCACCTGACGTTGTCCCACCGCCTTATGGATCAGACCTTCAGGTCAAAGGCTCCGGGTGTGGCCCCATAAGAAAACCACCTGCTTCGGTCTGTGCACCCGGGCAGTATCACAGCCCTCACATATATCAAATGAGATTTGTGTGACGCATATGTATTTGTGCCTCCTTGTACCAATATCTGTGTTAAAATAAAATGAATAGTACACCGACTCACAATTTTAATCCTGATCTCGTTAGTGTCGTCATACGTGATCTTTATGGCTCCGGGCTGTTTGATTGTTTGCAACGTTTGAGTTTCAGTGAAACACTCAGTTGTTTGAAGCACGTAAGTGGATGAAAGTACAAGATGCTAACCAAAAGTTCTTAATAGTTTTGAGAGCTACTGAATGACAATGTGTCTTTCTTGGTAATGAACACTAAATCACAATTGATAGCCTAACACTTCATTTAATGAGCAAAAGCATCACAATGCTCTTGCGATTAACAAATGCCAGACTTTTATGGTGATTACCAAATGTCTTCCTGAAGCTCAGCAGTATCTCTAGGTATCGCTCACCATGCTATAATGTTGTCGGGATAAAACTAGGCCAGTAACAGGAAGCTAGAAAGAAATCCAACCAAATAACAGCAACCTTAAATCATTATCCTACGTAGTTCCATTAGGTACTTTTCAACCGGACAACTTAAAGTTAAATCACACTCTTAGCTTTGTGTTCAAATAAAAATTCTCTTCAGAAATTTATTTATTCTGATATCACTCATCTTAGACAACGTTCTAGTATGCGGAACTGTTTAAAGCTCCATGAGTAAAAAGATTACCTATAGGCAGCTTATGATCTTCCAGGGTTTATTGACTTTTCTCGTGTCACTGATAGATGCACCTCTAATCCGAGTTGACCACTTGAGTGTGTGTACTTCGTCTAGCATAGTAAGAGAACGAGAAATGGCATAATTTTGGTACTCATATTTCCTATTTTTGTTCTTATTGTAGTAATGCATAGTGTTACAAGTTTTCATCATACGCATGGCAGACACTAAACTGTTTGTCCAAGTCTCATTGTATAAGTCAGTTGGAGGTATGTGAGCAGTTGTTACTTCCTAGCTGTCCACACCGTGGAGGGATGTTTCCTAAATGACTTAAAAACGAAGCTGAATTAGTGATGGTGTTATTGATCTGGGGATGTGACTGCAAAGCCCAAAGGACAACTGCTTGAAGCCGGTCACACACAACCTTTTTATGGAAAGCTTTTTTAAGGCGTTAGCTCCGCACTTCAAAAGTCCTTACTTACGGAGAATGAAACCTGTCGGGTTAGGTTGAAATGTTACACTTTAAGGGTCAAGCTTCTCTAATCTCTTCCTATGTGAAAAGGGAGCATTATTGCAAATGCTAGTTATCCTAGCGAAACACCACTGCTTTCACGCATGTACAGTCATTAGTATAACATCAGTCTCAGATCATAAGTTGCTGCCTTTAATCTTTTCTCAAAGGAACATGTGTTACAGCCGATATATCTCGGTCGAATCATCACGATAGGCAAGCCCGACCACCACGTTAACCTATGTGGGCTTTTTAATCTCATTACTCCAATCCAAGTTGGAAAGAGTTGTCTTGTGAAATGTATTTTAAAACCAAAAGCTCCTCCCGCCATTTGTTTGATTATGTTGCGCTCACTGTCTGTTATTATCTTCACAATTTTAGGGGCTGATATCGAAGCTGCAGAAACGTGGGGAGTTGAGCCAACAATGCCTGTCGGATCATTAGGCGATATGGGGATAGCCGCTGCTAGTTACGGTCCTGTTGGTGGGACAGCAGGTGGTTGGAGTAATTTAGATGCCGATCCAACAGAAACATGGTAGTTGAGCAATATAATTTATGGAAAAGTACTTCTTTTTTTCTATACGGATTACCTTGTCATTAAATTTGTTAGCTTGTGTAGTGTGCTACTTCGGATTCATAGGTTTTGGTACGAATTTAGTCTCTGTCAATTGGCCCAGTAGGTCAGATAGACTGTGAGCGAATTTCTACATTTATGTTGCCGTTTTTCAAATATTCTTTCTCAGGGGTAGGTAATAAACTCATTTGTGAGAATTACAGCTTACGACAACTTAGGTTTCCTACCATCACTTGAACGATTGGGATTTACACATCCCAATATACTAAAATTCTATAATGAACATTTTGATAAGGATTCTATTCCTACTGATAGTAATATTCATATATAGTTAAATAAATTGCCAATTCTTAATTAAAAACTACCTAGTTTTTTTCAGTGGATCGAGTTGCATGAGTAAAAATTTTCAGTATTCTAGGTGTGAGTTAATCGCCTAAATCTTGTTCGCTTATCAAATATAATGTCCTGTCTTAATGTTTGACACTAAATACTGTTTCATGCCACACTGACTGGAATGTGTTATAATTGTGCTGAGTGTTAATTTGCACTGTTTAGTGGGGAAGTGCATTGAATCCAGTAAACATTTCTGTGCTTTGTGAATGAAACACAAACATATACCGGGAAATCATTATTACTGGTAAACCCTATGCGCCTAAACAGTATCAGATGAGATTCAATCATTGATTCGTTATTTTATAATTGGATATCAAATTTTGCGTCTGAACAAGTTATAAGTGTGGCTGGCTGTGTAAGAGATGGTTATGTTGCTATAACGTGGCACAAACAATATTATAGGTAACGACAATACCTGTATGATTAAGTTTTATTTATATTCATTACTTTGCAGCATTTGTTGGGTAAAGTAGAACTTTGGAAATGTAAAATCACCTTCAAATTACACTGAATAGAATATTATTTAAATTCCATTATTTTCTCCGCCTAATTTCAACAATACGCTCAATTCCTACATGATCTATTGTGCTGAGTAAAAAGACGAAGATCGACTTTTAAAACCAATAACTAAACAGTTTATTGCGGTCTAACATCACTGGTGACAACTCACCCATGACAATTTTCGAGAAGGCAGCAGTGTAAGAGGTTATCTAGCGTGAAAGTCTTGAGGTTTAATTTGTGTCGATAGGAGTAATATATAAATAGAGCAAGAACAAACATTGATGCAGAATAGTATGAATTCACATTATTTCGAGGTTTCTCGTCAGCTGCTTACAAACCAAAATTGTGATAGAATTTTTACATGGAGATAGTGTGAAAACAATTGACATAAATGAGTGTAAATAACTTGATTACAATAATAACTATATATATGTGCTAGAAATAGGTCGGAGGTCAAAAGAGGGGGGTTAATCCAGGGTGGGTGGTGTAATAATTTAGTGAAGTTCATAAATTGTGTGATAATTGTAGAGATTAATGGAATTAAATAGTGATAAGGTAGATTACTTAATAATAATTAAATAGATTTTGGAAAGTTAAGATAATTTAAGAGGATCAGGTGGTGGAAATGTGTGAATAAAATTTATTTTAAGAATTAGGTAATACGGGGGAGTATAAAATGACTTAGAATAAGTAAATGAATAAAATAACCAGAACACAAAACAAACAAACAGAAACAAAAAAAGATTACCAGGGTAGTGATAAGTTTATTACAGTCTCTTTTTGGATGCATAAGTCCGGTTTCAGTTTCTTAATTGCAATGGCTTCAGCAAAGCGGAGAGTGGTAGTAGTTTTTGTCTATTGATAATTTTAAACGCACGCATAATATCGACGGTATGCCCGGTGTCAAGTAGGTGCCGAGCTATTGCACTGTTAAAAGCTTTAGTTCCTCGCAGCGTCAAATTCGGAATATGCTCAGAAATGCGAACCTGTACTCTTCTCTCAGTTCTTCCAATGTATGTGCTACGGCACGTACATATGAATTGGTAAATGCAGTTGGAGCAACTGAGGGGAGAGGATTTGTCGATTTTCGTTTGTTTCAGTGAGCAGTATGTTTTCCATGATGTGGTCAGTTTGGCTGCCGGGTAGGTCACTTTTAAAGCGGAATTAATTCTGTGATTAATAATTCCGGCGACTTCATCTCCTTTGAAGCGCAAGGATAGGAAGCAGGTTTTCTTTTCAACTGTATCATGCTTAATCGGAGGGTTTGTATTAGCATATTTATGGATGAATTTATCCGGATATGCATTTTCACGTAGGCATTTGGTGATTGTAGTAATTTCTTCTTCGAGGCATTCTTTTGAGCAGATTTTTCGTGCGCGGTCAAAGAGGTTTCGCACAATACCCTTTTTATAACTCATTGGACAGAAGCTGTTAAAATTGAGATAAACTCCGCTCTAAGTATTTTTGCGGTGAATGTGTCTTTGTAGTGTGCCATCTGATGTTCGACTAATTCCAATATCTAGGAAATGGAATTTATCATCAACTTCATGTTCCATGGTAAATTCTATATCTTTGTGTACTTTACTGAACAGACTAAGTAGGTACATGGAGTGTTGGTGATTATTGCGGACAGGGAACGTGTCATCCATATATCTGCAGTAGAGTGTGGTACTGTCGATTGCGTGCTTCAGTTTCTTTTGTTCCAGATGTCCCATAAATATGTCGGCAAGAATTGGGCCTAGAGGGCTGCCCATTGCTATTCCATCAATCTGTCGGTACAGAAAATTGTTAAATTTAAATTGTATGTTTTTTGTACACAAAAACAGGAGCTGTTTAAATTCCTGGGGTGGTAAAGGTAGGAGTTCTGGATATTCACATATGATCTCTACCGTTTCTTCCAAGGGGATATTTGTGAAAAGCGAAGAGACATCAAATGAAACCATGAATTTGTCAGAGACATTAAGGTTATCAAGTTTTTGTACAAATTCAAAGCTGTCTTTCAAACTGTAGGCTGCTAGTTTTTTGCGGACTGGTTCCAAGCATCTAGTAAACCAGCGGGCAAGTTTATGGAAGGGTGATTTGGCCATCGATAATATTGGTCTTATAGGGATGTCGGGTTTATGTGTTTTGGGTAGCCCATATAAGTATGGCAATTGTGACCCTTTTGGTTTAAGTTCGTTATACGTATGATTATCTATTAGATTTTTCTTAACAAGTTCTCTCAACTTTCTTAAGACACGTTTCTCTGTCGCATATGTTAAGTCTTTCTGGGTATTGTCGATGATAAATCTGGTGGAATTATTTAAAATGGACATTACCTTATTGATATATTCATCTCTGTTAAGGATGACTACACTGGAACCCTTATCCGGACGAAGTAGCATTATTGTTTCGTCTTTAATGAGTTTTTCCAATGCTTGGTGGTGATCTTTGGTGAACACCCTTGAGTGTGGGATTGGTGTCGTAACATACTGGTTTGTGATATCTGTGGTGGTCGGTATCCGATATAATCCTTAACTTCGTATACAATTCGTCTTGCTAACCGTTCTGTATAACGCCCCAACGGTATAATAATCAGAAGGCAAATACGAAGTGTTGATTACGTTTATTGCGAGACCACACACATATATCCAAATGTACAAATGCGTTAAATAAGCATAGAAGAGTTGTGCCGAAAGGCAAGCAAGCGAGCAAGAGCGAATGAGTAAGTGAATGAGTGTTCAATATGAATAACATGGACATATATATACCATGTGAAATGAATGGGTAATCGAATCGAATAAGCAGTTAGTAGTAAGACTAGCAGAGTGAATAAATGCGTAGGCCGTGAGCAATATTCAAGCATGCGTATTTCATGCGAGCACAAAATAATAAGGGTACAATAAATTGTTATAGTACGGATGGCTTTATCCGCTAAATAAGTTAGCGAAAGGGTTTAACTGAGTTAAATGAGAATAAACCCATTTGCACGTGAGTCGCTATATATCCACTAATTTAGATTTAAACCAACTATGCTTTTCGTCGTTCATGGGTTTAAGGTCTGACAATTGTTGATATAGATATTCAAACTGGGTCTCAGTGTCTATCCTGTTGCATTTTCTTGGGATATGAAATTTGAATCCAAGGCAGAGTGCTTCAGTTTCAATTCGACTTAGTTTTTTATTAGATAAGTTCTGTATGTATTTTCGTGGAGTGGTAGGAAATGCCACATGGTTTTTTTCTTTAACAAGTGTTTTGGTTAATGTTTTCATGAATTTGTGACTGGTTTTCGACTGAAAATCACGAATGAAGTTAATAAGTTTAATACGACATACAATATTTAAATCCATAACGATTTTGTCATAACCAAAGGATTCTATTTTAAGTTTAGAGATAAGATCCTTAGTGCATTCAATTTGGGATTTGGTGACACGTCGAAGATTTTTTAACGAAGGAGGTATTTTACAGGCGCGGACAGCTTTAAGAATGTGGCGAGGAAAGCAGCCATCATTAAGGCAACGTGACAAAAACCTTAATCTTGTTGTTTCTCTCGATATCCTGCAGCGAATTGTCACCAACTTGTTGAGTGACTTGAAATTGTGGACAGGGAGACGGTTTTTCAGAAATTTCATGCAATTGGTTCCCTTTATGAATTTAAATAGAGCAAGAACAAACATTGATGCAGAATAGTATGAATTCACATTATTTCGAGGTTTCTCGTCAGCTGCTTACAAACCAAAATTGTGATAGAATTTTTACATGGAGATAGTGTGAAAACAATTGACATAAATGAGTGTAAATAACTTGATTACAATAATAACTATATATATGTGCTAGAAATAGGTCGGAGGTCAAAAGAGGGGGGTTAATCCAGGGTGGGTGGTGTAATAATTTAGTGAAGTTCATAAATTGTGTGATAATTGTAGAGATTAATGGAATTAAATAGTGATAAGGTAGATTACTTAATAATAATTAAATAGATTTTGGAAAGTTAAGATAATTTAAGAGGATCAGGTGGTGGAAATGTGTGAATAAAATTTATTTTAAGAATTAGGTAATACGGGGGAGTATAAAATGACTTAGAATAAGTAAATGAATAAAATAACCAGAACACAAAACAAACAAACAGAAACAAAAAAAGTAATATGCAGCCTGATACTCATTAATTTCCAAATATCAGTATAATTATATCACTGGTTTTTGAACTTAACATCGTCAACAAAAAGCAGACTAACTTTGAACTATATCTAAGTATTATTTTCGGAAATTTCCGATACATAATCGTACTTAAATAAGAAGCAAGATAATACGTCATTCAGAACGTTATTGCTAAAAAACAAGGAAAGGTAGTCATTTCGACATAACATATCCTTGTCCATTTTGCTAGTTCTTGTCTCGTAATTTGTTTTTACTGTCTAGTTATGTGGTTTTTCATGAAAAGCTAAATGCACAAACTGCTCATGTTACTGATAATCGACAGACAACTTTTAAATGTATATATAAATATTCACCTAAATGCTATGAATAAGTTCGTAGTTGATTGGAAGTTGTTACTTAACGTACAATATGAAGGGATTGTTTAAGTGTATCCATTTGCAATTTTAGATAAATGAAACCCAGAACATATTTAGTGATCTTACTACATTCAACGATTCATTCTTGTAGTTCGATTTATGAGTCGATTGAAGCTGGACCACCATGGAAAACCTGAATGCACTGGATGGCATTTTCGTCATAGTTTGGGACTCGGCAGTGCTCATCCACGATCCCGCGAGACCCGTCACTTCGACATTAACACCATTGGATGCCGGCTCAGTGATCTAGAGTTTAAGCATTCGCGCGCGAGACAGGTCCTGGTTTAGAATCTCACGGGGCAGGATCGTGAATGCACATTGCCGAGGAGTCCCATGCTAGGACGAAACCGCATTCTAGTGCTTCCAGGTTTTCCATGGTCGTCTAGCTTCAATTGACTTGTGGATTTAACTGTTAAATTACTAAGGTCTCCACAAAACTCCTGATAAGGTTCTTTTTTAAACACATGAGGAAGTAATGGTGTTTGATCACATTTATTTTGATGGTTACTTCTTTAATCAACAAAGATCAGTGTTTACTACTTGTAAATTATTTTAAATGTCTTCGTGATATCCACCTTTTTAATATCTATTGAATGTCTAATCTTAGCACTAGTATATGCTTTACCTCCAAAATCAACTTTCAGGGAATTTGTTCTGAAAACTTCACTCTTATGTACTTGTTTACCCGAGTACACGTAAATTAATGATTACATTTGTAGGTAACTTCAAGAGTATTGAATAGTAAGAAACATCTGAAAATAGATAAACTGTAGGAAAGCTTATTTTTAGCTATTTTAATCCTTTTATCAATTCCACCTGAAACCTCTCCTTTGAATTCAAGACTGGCAAAGAGGTTTTTAGCTAATTGACTAAATTAATGAGAATCGATTCTACAATCAAATGTTTCTGTTAGTAATTTTAGTAGTGAATCTCAGTTTTATGTAGTTATTCTTAAGGTTTTAATATGCATAGTCGCAAGCAAATATATCAAAATTAGTAAATTTGATGGTTTGTAAGTCAAGCATATAAATGGTGAAGGATTAAAATTTAGTAGTATTGCTTGTCAATGAATTTGACATCACAAGGCAAGTATTCACTTCAACATCCGAAATAGATAAATTTCGAAAGAAAATCGAAAGTTTTGTAATTTGTACTTTTTCGATCAATTTAAACTACAGTTTATCTAACCTGGTGATTAAATATTCAGCTGAACTGTGTGGAAGGTCACTTTTCAAGTGATTACCATTAGGAGGCGCAATAAAATTAGTGCGAGCTAATTTTGAATGCACATGAATACGGTATCCCCCTCAGATCCCATTAGCTACAATCATTTGTAATTCAAAATCCAATAACAGCAACCGACGATATTCAACAACGACTTTGTCCTATACTCTAGTGTTCCCCTCCATATGTCAACAGAATGTGAAATTATTCCGATAAATCTTCCATAAGACATATTTTGTAAACTTCGTATATCTTATAATGGCTTTAAAGCCAAAATAATGTATGTATTGACTTTCAACAAGCTAAGTGAAAATTACTTATCTTTGAAAAACTACTTCGCAGTCAAAATGAATAATCGATGATTGAGCTTAGTCAACTAAGTCAAATCCATTTATAATCATAAAAAAGGTCTAAATGTTGGCCAAATTTCAACACAGTCGACCTTAGAAGTTTCATAGAGTTGATAGATTTCTTTAGCTCATAAATCTTCATTTTCTATAATACAACCTGAGAGGGGATGTCAAGAAATAAAATAAGATGCTTGTTAGTCATCGAAAATTTGTCAACAAATTGGGAACTATTTTCACACAGTCATTGGTTAACGATTAGGCACCACGATATTTTTAGACCAGATTTTTGCTCATTAAAAAGATGAATCCGAGTGATGTAATGTGGAAGTTTAGGACTATCAGAGTCATGTGAATATAATAAAACTTTTTAAATTGCTTTTTAGATAACATTGACACAAACTGATTCTGTAAATCAATGAAGTGATAACCTTCCGGGATGAAGGTCATTTATATTACTACAGCCAATTAATTGATTCTCATTCTTTACAAATGCTTTTTATTCCCACATCTTTATTTAAGTTGTTTAGGTCTTCGTAAATTAGCTAATGAGAGCTTTACGATTTAACGAGTTTGAATTAGCCTATAAATCAAGTGGTTATCCTGTTTTTCTGGTTGTTGATCTTAAGAAAAGCTCAAGGCATTTATCTCTGTTATAATCATCATTACAGTTGCTAGATATTCAAGGTGATAATAGTTTATTTAAACAGGATCTCAAGTATGTACAATAATCACAGTATTAAGAAGATATGTAATCTCTTCGTATGTTTAGAAGAGGTTGGTAGATTCGTTTATACCTCACTGAAGATAAGAGACTCCTAGAAATGCTACTACTAAAGTTCTGTTCGTACTCCAAAAAAGATTTGTTTATTGATCTATAGGGAATATCTGCTTGTCTATGAATTATTATTGTCCTATTATCCTGTCCCTCTATGTGTCATAACAAACATACAGAAAGGTTTTAGGTCAGGCTATTGTTGTCAATCTGACAATAACACCCACTTATCGATTGTTTGGTATGACTGGCGCATTAAAATTCTCAGTAAGGTGCGATAAAGAAAGTTGTGTATTGCATAAAGCATTGTGGTGATCGTTTTAAGAACTAGAATTTACTGGATGAATATTAATGTTTACGCGAGCCATGTTTAAGAAAACCGTCAACATCATCCGAAGTTCATACTACGGACTAAAGTGCAGATGCATTCCAAGTGAGGACCAGAGTCAGACAAGGTTGCTTACTCCTACCCGTCCTCTTTATTCT